ATACGTCCTACATAAACACTCTTCATGAGCTTATTGAATTCCTTGCTATCTACTGACACAAGTGTTGTTGTGTCTCGTATTCCATCATAATCTTTCACTAGATATGTCATACGTGCTCCGTCAATAACAACAACACATCTTCTTAAGTCATTTATAACACTAGCTATGTCAATACCTTCTTCACTCATGTACTTATTTTTCCTCAAGTCCTTTAGTGTGAAAGTGTCTCTAAGTTCTATTTCAAACAATTCATTTACACATCCTTTGCAATACTTCTCTATAAAATATTTCTGTCGTTCTTTACTAAGTTTCTTAACAGCTCTAAAGAACCATGTGTTTTGACTCAAACATCCTTCACAACTTCTCTCATTCATTCCTAGTTCTTTCATGTCATTATCTTCAACCTCTATGGTCTCATTGACTAAGGTCAAAGGGTTCTTAGTCATTTGGTCTATCTGAAACTGTTTGTGTTTGTGTTTGTTCAGCAACGTCCTTTTAATATGAATAGCTGTTTCCACTCATCTTTGCTAACAGTTCTTTCATAACCACTGACAGTAATGATTTCATTTGCTGACCTTAGACACTTATGTTCTATCATGTGTATTGCTTTTGTGTAAGGCTTTCGTGAGCATAGGTTGTATATGTCATTCCTGCAATGTTCATTCATGCCAATAGTACTAAATCCTTTCTTTGCTGTTGAGTGCATAATATCCATTAGTTCCTGTGTTCGTATTGCTGTCTCATAAAATACAACAAGACCTTTGTCATCTATGACGTACTTACCGAAAACATTGCTTATATTCTTTAACCATGAAATAACATCCTCATTCATGCTGTCAAACATGAAGTAAGGTCTTACATACTCTTCACTTATAAGATACTCCACAAAGTACTTGTTAAGCTCTATGTCCTCGTGAGCGATTTCATTAGGTTTGATATTAGTTCCTTTTGTCATTGCTGTCATGTACTTCACTCTCATAGTTCCTTTCAATAGCGTAAAAATACTTCATTGTTTCATAACTGCTCTAAATTCTGTTCAAAATTCGTACAACATAACTTTTTAACATTAGTGAAAGAACATGAGCGAAACAACAACATCTAACATTACAGAAGAAGTCAATGACAATGCCGATGAAAACATTACAGAAGGAGCTAGTGAAAATATTGACGAGTTCAGTGAGGAAGAAGATATTGAGGACGTCAATGAGAACGTTAGTGGGGAACAAACTCAATGGGAAACATTGAGAAATCATGAAGATTATGAGATTTGTACGACATATCCTTTTACTATTCGTCGAAAGAAAGACAAACATATTATGAGTGAATGCTTAAATAATTATGGTTATATTGTGCTTAGTTTAAACAACAAAATGTACTTAAAGCATAGAATTATTGCAGAACAGTGGATTGAAAATCCAAACAATTTGAAAGAAATAGACCATATAAATCATGATAGAACGGACAACAGAATCTCAAACCTTCGTTGGTGTTCTAGATCTGAAAACAATAGAAATAAAAGCAAGTATGGTGATATAGTTTATGAGTTCGTTGATGAAATATCTGACGAAGCTGTTGAAATAACAGATTATGGTAAGCATTCGTTTGAGTTCTACTACTATGTTGAGAATGAGGACGCATTCTATTATTATACAGGTCCTAGCTATCGAAAACTTCATATAAACTTTACAAAAACAGGTGCTGCTTATGTTTGTATGATAGATACAGAAAACAAGAGTGTAATCTTATTCATAAACAAATTCAAACGCTTGTACGGCTTCATGTAGGACAAACATTATTTTTCAACACTAACGCGAACACGTAGGACAAACATTCATGACTAACATTACTGTATAACATAGACACTAACTTCATCGAAACTAAACGTAAATGTTTTGTCATGATTTCTTCGTATATGTTTTGTTATGACTTCATCGTAAATGATTTGTCATGATTTCATCGTATATGTTTTGTCAAAACTTCATCGTAAATGTTTTGTCAAGATTTCATCGTAAATGATTTGTCATGATTTCATCGTATATGTTTTGTCAAAACTTCATCGTAAACACTTTGTCATGATTTCATCGTAAATGTTTTGTCATGACTTCATCGTATATGCTTTGTCAAAACTTCATCGTAAATGTTTTGTTATGATTTCATCGTATATGTTTTGTCATGATTTCATCGTAAATGCTTTGTCATGATTTCATCGTAAATGCTTTGTCGAACTTAAACGTAAATGTTTTCAGTGTCACCACGTCACCATGTCACCAGGTTATTTAACTTCTCTTAAAATTACTGACAACATGACATTTTGACAACAACACAGGAAATAAATGTTATCGTTTATGTTTTCATTAATGATTTCATAAATGTTTTGTCATGACTTCATGGTAAATGTTTTGTCATGACTTCATCGTAAATGCTTTGTCATGATTTCTTCGTAAATGTTTTGTCATGATTTCATCGAAACTAAACGTATATGTTTTGTTATGACTTCATCGAAACTAAACGTATATGTTTTGTTATGACTTCATCGTATATGTTTTGTTATGACTTCATCGTAAATGTTTTGTTATGACTTCATCGAAACTAAACGTATATGTTTTGTTATGACTTCATCGAAACTAAACGTATATGTTTTGTTATGACTTCATCGTATATGTTTTGTTATGATTTCATCGTATATCCTTTGTCATGACTTCATCGTAAATGTTTTGTCATGACTTCATCGTAAACACTTTGTCAAAACTTCATCGTAAATGTTTTGTCAAAACTTCATCGTAAATGTTTTGTCATGACTTCATCGTAAATGTTTTGTCATGATTTCATCGTAAACTCTATGTCAAACATGAACGTAAACACTTTGTCAAAACTTCATCGTAATGAGTGTAAATGACCCAAAAATAATGTTTACGTTAATGGTTTCCGGTTATTCAATAATGAATTATTTTTGAATAACTGAAGGTGTCACTACGTCACCATGTGTCACTCGGTTAATTAACTTCTCTGAAAAAATGAGACAACATGACATTTTGACAACACAGCGGGGGAGGGTATTTATGAATTATTTTTGAAGAACTGAAGGTGTCACTACGTCACCATGTGTCACTCGGTTAATTAACTTCTCTGAAAAAATGAGACAACATGACATTTTGACAACACAGCACTTCGTCAAAATGTGATGTCGTGTATCGTGTATCGTGTATCAAATACAAAAAAAATGAAAGGGAAATGAAGAAAGGAGTTTGTAAGCTCATAAAATGCTTGTTTTGAGGTCAAGCCAAAAGTGGCTCGACCGTATTCGTTCATCCAAAACTCAAGAATTTCCTGCATTTTAGTACTATTGAGAAATCTGTTTAAATGGTTTAACCTTCCCGCTTCTCTTAAAATTACTGACAACATGACATTTTGATAACAGTCCTGGAAATAAATTTTATCGTATATCCTTTGTCAAAACTTCATCGTATATGTTTTGTCATGATTTCATCGTATATGCTTTGTCAAACATGAACGTAAACACTATGTCAAACATGAACGTAAACACTATGTCAAACATGAACGTAAACACTATGTCATGATTTCATCGTAAACTCTATGTCATGATTTCATCGTAAACTCTATGTCATGATTTCATCGTAAATGCTTTGTCAAAACTTCATCGTATATGTTTTGTCATGATTTCATCGTATATGCTTTGTCAAACATGAACGTAAACTCTATGTCAAACATGAACGTAAACACTATGTCATGATTTCATCGTAAATGCTTTGTCATGACTTCATCGTAAATAGTTTGTCATGATTTCATCGTAAATGTTTTGTCAAACATGAACGTAAACACTTTGTCAAACATGAACGTAAACACTTTGTCAAACATGAACGTAAACACTTTGTCAAACATGAACGTAAACACTTTGTCAAACATGAACGTAAACACTTTGTCAAACATGAACGAAAGACTTTGTCGAACTTCATCGAAACTAAACGTATATGTTTTGTCATGATTTCATCGTAAATATTTTGTCAAAACTTCATCGTAAATGCTTTGTCATGACTTCATCATATATCCTTTGTCGAACATGAACGTAAACACTTTGTCAAACATGAACGTAAACTCTATGTCATGATTTCATCGTAAACACTATGTCAAACATGAACGTAAACGCTTTGTCAAACATGAACGTAAACTCTATGTCATGATTTCATCATAAATGCTTTGTCATGACTTCATCATATATCCTTTGTCGAACTTAAACGTAAACACTTTGTCAAACATGAACGTAAACACTATGTCAAACATGAACGTAAACACTATGTCAAACATGAACGTAAACTCTATGTCAAACATGAACGTAAACACTATGTCAAACATGAACGTAAACACTATGTCATGATTTCATCGTTAATGTTTTGTCATGGTTTCATCGTAATGAGTGTAAATGACCCAAAATAATGTTTACGTTAATGGTTTCCGGTTATTCAATAATGAATTATTTTTGAATAACTGAGGGTGTCACTACGTCACCATGTGTCACTCGGTTAATTAACTTCTCTGAAAAAATGAGACAACATGACATTTTGACAACAGTCCTGGAAATATATTTTATCGTTAATGGTTTGTCAAAACTTCATCGTAAATGCTTTGTCATGACTTCATCGTAAATGTTTTGTCAAACATGAACGTAAACTCTATGTCAAACATGAACGTAAATGCTTTGTCATGACTTCATCGTAAACACTTTGTCAAACATGAACGTAAACACTTTGTCAAACATGAGCGTATATCCTTTGTCAAACATGAACGTAAACACTTTGTCAAACATGAGACAACATGACATTTTGACAACACAGCAGGATTAATGAGGAAGGCACTTATGAATTATTTTTGAAGAACTGAGGGTGTCACTACGTCACCATGTGTCACTCAGTTAATTAACTTCTCTTAAAAAGTGTGACAACATGACATTTTGACAACAGTCCCGGAAATGATTTGTCATGACTTCATCGTAAATGACCAAAAATAATGTTTAGGTGAAGAGTATTATAAGGCATTTTGTGAAGAATATAACAAGCATAACGAGGTGAAGCCCACATTGCTACAGCATTTACTAAAAGTCTATGAACATAATATCCTTTCAAACCAGGAGCCAAATTCTTGCGATTTTCGTACGGAATCTCTTCTCTCGGTTTTCCGAGGGAAGCAATCATATGAGGAAATTCTTCTAAAAGTTCTTTTGTCTGTTGGTTTTCAAACCAATGATATGCTTGCTTTGTAGAACGAAGAGCATTCATTATACTTTGCATTTGGTACATGTCATCTTTGACCGAACGAATGAGGCGAAGTTGTTTGTTATATTGTATGTATTCGTATTCTTCATTTATGGCTTCATGGACTATAACTGTTGTTGTGTTCTCTGATGTTGACATTACTGTCATTTCATACAAAATAAAAAAAATAAATAAAAATAAAATTAGCGTTATTTTCTGACTTTCACAAAAGACCAAAAATAAACGCTTTACATGTATTTTTCAGCAACTTCGTCAAATAATTTTATAGCTTTATCTATCTCATCTACTTCAAACGTTTCTTTACCTTTCATGGGAGCACCATACATTTTCTCAAAAACTTCAAGCAGTTCTGTTTCAGCAGCTCTCATATCATTAACAAACACAACCTTGACTCTATTGACTGTACTGTCATATCTTTGAGTTATATTATATGTTCTTCCTATCTTATATCTCTTTGTATTGAAGTCCTTCGGTTTCTGAACGATGTAAAGTAAGCCTTCACTGCAACGTTCTGAGTCGAATGAACCATAAGTTATGAAGTTATATCCAACCACTGGGTCTAACCATAACAAAACTATTGGTATAAGACTTTTGTCAATGAGATATGCTGTAGTTCCATAGAATCTTACCGATATCATAAGCTCAGGATTTCTTGTCAAAATTTTCTGAGTTGAAGCATTTCTAACCCAGTGGTTTGTTTTCTTTTCAGATGGAGATATAATGTCTGACAAAGAATATTTGTTGTATTTCTTTGAGTATCTTACGTTTAAATCACCTATTCTAACCACTTTGGTGTCATTGTCAATCTTTCTAACTGTTTCAAACTCAATGTTTGACATTACTGTCTTTACATACAAAATAAAAATTTTTCTTAGAAAAAAATTAGCGTTATTTTTCTAACTAATGAAATTCATGAAATTTGGTCATTTTTCAGACAAAAATAATGTTTAGGGTAGATGGTTAGATCTAACCTGATATCTAACCTCATTTCTACCCTCATTTCTACCCTCATTATTGTGAACCGTTTTACATGGTAAACGTTATGAATTCGTGAGATTCTAAACAATTTCCTAGCTTCTATTTCTTCAGTTAATATATCAAAAATTTTAACAATGCCGAAAGTTTCTTTATACTTCTTCTTGACATCAGATAAAAGGAAATCATCAGCTGTGGGATAGTTTTTATTAAGAAATGTCAACATGTCCATTTTATCTTCTGCTGGCTTTTCTGCTTCTTTCTTTAAGTCTGCGTAATCGTTTCTCATTCTTTCTATCTCTTTTACTGAGTAGTTATATTTCCTCATTGCTGCTTTACATTTTGAACATTGCGGATTCATTTTTGCGTTATACATTGAAACATTACTAGCTAAAATAACTAAAGCATCAATGGCTTTCTTTAAATCTGAAGCAGTTGGTTTTATCTGTTCGTTCCATACTTTGCCTCTTCTGTCTTTATCTCTTATCTGCCACACACATTCAGCAGCTAATGAAACAAAGTTATCGTAAGTCTTAAACTCCTCAGATTTATATATGTCAGAAATGTTTTTATAAACCATGTCGCAATCTTTGTTCATAACTTTATGGTTGCAATGAAAACCAAGGAATTCATAATTTACTTTACGTATGAACTTCTTTATTTCTACTGAATCAGTAACTTTAACTTCAATTTCATCGAATTCAGGAATAGTTAGTTTTTGTTGCTGAACTTCCGGTAATTTAGGCAAATGGTCTATGATATCTTGCATTTCATATAGCTCCTCTCCATTTGTTTCATCTTTCGCACTACAGTCTAAATTACTTGTTAAAAGTTCTTGCTTTATTCTTTGTATTTCTGTTTCAAAAGTATATGAAGAAGGAATGAAGTTTTTCATCTCTACCAACATTGACGTAGGATTCATGATTAATGAATTTGGTGCCGTGCATGCTGTCGAAAGTGCTGATGTTTCGATTTTTGTAATCATATTTATATAAAAATAAAATTAACTTTATTTTTTTCTATCTTAAGGAAATTCATGAAAATTCATGAGGGTAGAAATGAGGTTAGATCTAACCATCTACCCTAAACATTATTTTTGCTGAATTCAGCAACAAAATGAACGAGGTCAGGATGTATGTAAATACCTTTGAATTCATTTATAACGCCCTTAGTAAGCTCATAAAATGCTTGTTTTGCATCACATTTTGACGAAGTGCAAATCTTCACTTCGTGTCATGATGCAAAAATAATGAGTTCATTTACTCACAATATTTTTGTACAAAATGTAAACTTTACATAACCGTCGGGAACCTTCACTTTTTGACGAACTTTCCGCAGCAATTTTTAAAATTTGTGAAAACTCAACGGTTTGACACGTGCCATATGTCATTTTACTCAGAATTTTGTGCTGAATTCAGCAAAAATTATTTTTGTTCATGGGCTATGCCCCGCCGCTTTGCGTCTTTATGTTAAAATAAATGGTACCTTTAATGATATCATGACTGTTCTCGTTCATGTCTGATTTACATCTAATGAAAAAGTTTAGAAGAATTTTCTTATTCTTTCTGGCATATTTTTGTCTTTCCAGAACTCCCGCTCTAATGGTCCCAGATGTGTTGGCTTCGACTCTCTCAAGTTCTTAGATGGTATAACATCTTCAACGCCTCCTTCATAAGTCTTGACAAAGTCATGACAAATCATTTACGATGAAGTCTTGACAAATCATTTACGATGAAGTTATGACAAAGTCATGACAAAACATTTACGATGAAGTCATGACAAATCATTTACGATGAAGTCTTGACAAATCATTTACGTTTAAGTTCGATGAAGCATTTACGATGAAGTCTTGACAAATCATTTACGAAGAAGTCTTGACAAATCATTTACGATGAAGTCTTGACAAATCATTTACGTTTAAGTTCGATGAAGCATTTACGATGAAATCATGACATAGAGTTTACGTTCATGTTTGACATAGTGTTTACGATGAAATCATGACATAGAGTTTACGTTCATGTTTGACATAGTGTTTACGTTCATGTTTGACATAGTGTTTACGTTCATGTTTGACAAAGTGTTTACGTTTAAGTTCGACAAAAGATATATGATGAAGTCATGACAAAGCATTTACGATGAAATCATGACATAGAGTTTACGTTCATGTTTGACAAAGTGTTTACGTTCATGTTTGACATAGTGTTTACGATGAAATCATGACATAGAGTTTACGTTCATGTTTGACATAGTGTTTACGTTTAAGTTCGACAAAGGATATATGATGAAGTCATGACAAAGCATTTACGATGAAATCATGACATAGAGTTTACGATGAAATCATGACATAGTGTTTACGTTCATGTTTGACATAGTGTTTACGTTCATGTTTGACATAGTGTTTACGTTCATGTTTGACATAGTGTTTACGTTCATGTTTGACAAAGCATATACGATGAAATCATGACAAAACATATACGATGAAGTTTTGACAAAGGATATACGATAAAATTTATTTCCAGGACTGTTATCAAAATGTCATGTTGTCAGTAATTTTAAGAGAAGCGGGAAGGTTAAACCATTTAAACAGATTTCTCAATAGTACTAAAATGCAGGAAATTCTTGAGTTTTGGATGAACGAATACGGTCGAGCCACTTTTGGCTTGACCTCAAAACAAGCATTTTATGAGCTTACAAACTCCTTTCTTCATTTCCCTTTCATTTTTTTTGTATTTGATACACGATACACGATACACGACATCACATTTTGACGAAGTGCTGTGTTGTCAAAATGTCATGTTGTCTCATTTTTTCAGAGAAGTTAATTAACCGAGTGACACATGGTGACGTAGTGACACCTTCAGTTCTTCAAAAATAATTCATAAATACCCTCCCCGCTGTGTTGTCAAAATGTCATGTTGTCTCATTTTTTCAGAGAAGTTAATTAACCGAGTGACACATGGTGACGTAGTGACACCTTCAGTTCTTCAAAAATAATTCATAAATACCCTCCCCCGCTGTGTTGTCAAAATGTCATGTTGTCTCATTTTTTCAGAGAAGTTAATTAACCGAGTGACACATGGTGACGTAGTGACACCCTCAGTTATTCAAAAATAATTCATTATTGAATAACCGGAAACCATTAACGTAAACATTATTTTTGGGTCATTTACACTCATTACGATGAAGTTTTGACAAAGTGTTTACGTTCATGTTTGACAAAGTGTTTACGATGAAGTCTTGACAAATCATTTACGAAGAAGTCTTGACAAATCATTTACGATGAAGTCTTGACAAAGTGTTTACGTTCATGTTTGACAAAGTGTTTACGATGAAGTCATGACAAAACATTTACGATGAAGTCATGACAAAACATTTACGATGAAGTCATAACAAAACATATACGATGAAGTCATAACAAAACATATACGATGAAGTCATAACAAAACATATACGTTTAGTTTCGATGAAGTCATAACAAAACATATACGTTTAGTTTCGATGAAATCATGACAAAACATTTACGAAGAAATCATGACAAAGCATTTACGATGAAGTCATGACAAAACATTTACCATGAAGTCATGACAAAACATTTATGAAATCATTAATGAAAACATAAACGATAACATTTATTTCCTGTGTTGTTGTCAAAATGTCATGTTGTCAGTAATTTTAAGAGAAGTTAAATAACCTGGTGACATGGTGACGTGGTGACACTGAAAACATTTACGTTTAAGTTCGACAAAGCATTTACGATGAAATCATGACAAAGCATTTACGATGAAATCATGACAAAACATTTACGATGAAATCATGACAAAGCATTTACGATGAAAGCATGACAAAACATTTACGATGAAATCATGACAAAACATTTACGATGAAATCTTGACAAAACATTTACGATGAAATCTTGACAAAGTCTTGACAAAGCATATACAAAGAAATCATGACAAAACATTTACGATGAAATCTTGACAAAACATTTACGTTTAGTTTCGATGAAGTTAGTGTCTATGTTATACAGTAATGTTAGTCATGAATGTTTGTCCTACGTGTTCGCGTTAGTGTTGAAAAATAATGTTTGTCCTACATGAAGCCGTACAAGCGTTTGAATTTGTTTATGAATAAGATTACACTCTTGTTTTCTGTATCTATCATACAAACATAAGCAGCACCTGTTTTTGTAAAGTTTATATGAAGTTTTCGATAGCTAGGACCTGTATAATAATAGAATGCGTCCTCATTCTCAACATAGTACTAGAACTCAAACGAATGCTTACCATAATCTGTTATTTCAACAGCTTCGTCAGATATTTCATCAACGAACTCATAAACTATATCACCATACTTGCTTTTATTTCTATTGTTTTCAGATCTAGAACACCAACGAAGGTTTGAGATTCTGTTGTCCGTTCTATCATGATTTATATGGTCTATTTCTTTCAAATTGTTTGGATTTTCAATCCACTGTTCTGCAATAATTCTATGCTTTAAGTACATTTTGTTGTTTAAACTAAGCACAATATAACCATAATTATTTAAGCATTCACTCATAATATGTTTGTCTTTCTTTCGACGAATAGTAAAAGGATATGTCGTACAAATCTCATAATCTTCATGATTTCTCAATGTTTCCCATTGAGTTTGTTCCCCACTAACGTTCTCATTGACGTCCTCAATATCTTCTTCCTCACTGAACTCGTCAATATTTTCACTAGCTCCTTCTGTAATGTTTTCATCGGCATTGTCATTGACTTCTTCTGTAATGTTAGATGTTGTTGTTTCGCTCATGTTCTTTCACTAATGTTAAAAAGTTATGTTGTACGAATTTTGAACAGAATTTAGAGCAGTTATGAAACAATGAAGTATTTTTACGCTATTGAAAGGAACTATGAGAGTGAAGTACATGACAGCAATGACAAAAGGAACTAATATCAAACCTAATGAAATCGCTCACGAGGACATAGAGCTTAACAAGTACTTTGTGGAGTATCTTATAAGTGAAGAGTATGTAAGACCTTACTTCATGTTTGACAGCATGAATGAGGATGTTATTTCATGGTTAAAGAATATAAGCAATGTTTTCGGTAAGTACGTCATAGATGACAAAGGTCTTGTTGTATTTTATGAGACAGCAATACGAACACAGGAACTAATGGATATTATGCACTCAACAGCAAAGAAAGGATTTAGTACTATTGGCATGAATGAACATTGCAGGAATGACATATACAACCTATGCTCACGAAAGCCTTACACAAAAGCAATACACATGATAGAACATAAGTGTCTAAGGTCAGCAAATGAAATCATTACTGTCAGTGGTTATGAAAGAACTGTTAGCAAAGATGAGTGGAAACAGCTATTCATATTAAGGAAGGACGTTGCTGAACTAGTTAAACCTGTTGCACAAACATTGTTTCAGATAAGACCAGCAATGACTAAGAACCCTTTGACCTTAGTCAATGAGACCATAGAGGTTGAAGATAATGACATGAAAGAACTAGGAATGAATGAGAGAAGTTGTGAAGGATGTTTGAGTCAAAACACATGGTTCTTTAGAGCTGTTAAGAAACTTAGTAAAGAACGACAGAAATATTTTATAGAGAAGTATTGCAAAGGATGTGTAAATGAATTGTTTGAAATAGAACTTAGAGACACTTTCACACTAAAGGACTTGAGGAAAAATAAGTACATGAGTGAAGAAGGTATTGACATAGCTAGTGTTATAAATGACTTAAGAAGATGTGTTGTTGTTATTGACGGAGCACGTATGACATATCTAGTGAAAGATTATGATGGAATACGAGACACAACAACACTTGTGTCAGTAGATAGCAAGGAATTCAATAAGCTCATGAAGAGTGTTTATGTAGGACGTATTGAGGAGAAGGATGTGAACGCACTGATGATTTATGAAGCGGGTCAGAACAAGAACTATCTTATGAAGTCAGGCATGAGATTCTTTGACGAAAGAGATGACATTTACAGCTATTTCAGAGGATATGAGTATGAGGTACTGAATGAAGTAGATGAAAGCGTTATTGAAGGATATTTGAAACATGTTCACGATGTCATATGTAATGAGGATGAAGAGCTTTATGAGTATGTTTTGAACTGGTTCGCCTACATCGTTCAAAATCCTTGTGGAAAGACTGGAACAGTACTTTTGTTAATAGGAAAGCAAGGAACTGGTAAGAATGTACTTAGTAATGTTCTATGCGAGCTCATTAGCAAGTACGCCAACAATAATATAACGGCAATAGAGAATGTGGTTGGTAGATTCAATGCTGCTATTGAGAACATGAAGCTCATCGTATGCAATGAACTAAGCTCATGCGATACGTCTAAGGTCATGAACCACGACGCACTAAAGTCAATAGTAACAGAGACTCAGTTGGACTTAAATCAGAAGTGTCAGCCAGTAAGAAAGATAGAGAATGTTTGTAATATCATCATGATATCTAACAACTTCAACTCAGTAAAGATTGATAAAGACGACAGAAGATTTGTTGTCATTGACGTAAGCAGGCAGATACAAAGGAAATTACGAATATTTCTCAAATCTCATTGAAAGCTTTAATGAAGAGTTTTATTCAAACTTACTGACGTACTTCATGAAGAAAGATTTAAGTGAATTTGATGTAAGGAAGATACCATTCACCAGGGCTAAACAAGAACTCATCGAAATGAACAAAACACCTTACCAAATGTTTTACGAGGAGTTCTATGAAAAGTTTGTATCCGGATGGAATTGTACAGAGTGCTACAGAAGATATAAAGAATTTGCGAAGGAGAATGAATTCTTTGCATGTAGTTCAAATGTATTTGGTGGCAAGATGAGAGAATTTGTGAAGAGAAGTAGAAAGCGAGACGGTTCTGCAAGAAGTTATATTTACGAAGCAAGTATGATATTAGAAGGTCGTGGAAAGAAAGAAACAGTGAATTATGAGGAAGTGCTTGAAAAATTCATGGAGTACATGGGAAGCAATATAACATACAACAAAGACATATACAGTGAGTTTAAGTACTACTGTGAACAGCATGAGATTGAAGTAATGAGTAAAGGAGACTTTGAAACGCTTATGAAAGACAGTAAGGAGGTCGTTCATGAGAACAGTGTTGAAATAGTTCATGAGAACAGTGAGGAGGTCATACATGAATGCAATGATGAAATAGTTCATGAGAACAGTGAGGAGGTCATACATGAATGCAATGATGAAATAGTTCATGAGAACAGTGAGGAGGTCATACATGAATGCAATGATGAAATAGTTCATGAGAACAGTGAGGAGGTCATACATGAGAACAGTGTTGAAATAGTTCATGAGAACAGTAAGGAGGTCATACATGAATGCAATGATGAAATAGTTCACGATGTCGTTCGTGAAGAAGCCATTGCAACAAAGAATGAGATAAAGGATTTCATAGAACTTAACAAGGAGGAGTTTAAAGAAGGCTATGAAGTGAAAAGATGTGAAGAAGATTTCTTGGCGTATTTGAAGAAAAAGAGACTAAAGCCAATGGCTCAAAATAAGTTTCAATCGATGTTTGAAAAGAAACGTTTGAGCTATGGTGGTGTAAGAAGCACATATTACTTTGTTAAGAAGTGAGGACATTTATTTTTGTCGTTAGTGTTGGAGTTTGTGTTTGTTGTTAGTGTTTGTCATTTGTGCTGAAGTTAGTACTTGATGTTAGTGTTGGAGTTTGTGTTTGTTGTTAGTGAGAGAATAAATTAAATCATGAACTTTGCCATGGTCTCTGTCCCTAGTAGTTTTCATTAAGTTCTGGAAATAATGAAAGTCATAAACTTTGCCATGGTCTCTGTCCCTAGTAGTTTTCATTATCTCACAGAGTTAATGAAAGTCATACTTTCTATCAGATGAAGCATGCAGATGAACATAATGAAAGTTAGTGAGTTTGCCACAAGTTATGAATAAAATATTGGCATATTAGATGAGATAGCTGATGAAACAGATGAAGATAAATTAAATCTTGGACTTTGCCACACTCTGTCCCTAGTTCCTCAAAATCCTTGACAACGTTGCTTAGAAATTTTGGTTCAAAACCTCATCTGATTTTAATCTGTTATGCTACCTGTTAAGTTTCGCGAGATTATAAATGTCATGGAGTTATATAAAAAGGAGGGACAGCTAGGGACACTGGAAGTACTTGTAAGGCTATCTGTTAAGATTGCATGAAATACTAAAAAGTCATGAAATCCATTATCGCTGTGCTAGCTTCACCTTTGATTGAAATGACGACTAAAGTCACTGAAGCAATGAAACAAAAGTTTTTGGTAGAATACATTAAATCAGGAACTATTCCAGAAGGTTTTTACATTCATACTATGAAGGATGGTAGAGTTCAGTTTAGAAAGATAAAGCAATCATTAGATAAAGAAGGAATTTTGAGAAAGATTAAACTTCATGAGGACAACATTGCTGAACTTAAGAAGAAGTTAGAAGAGTTGGAGAAAGGAAGAGAGTTATAAAGCAATGAGAACGTTTATGTTATGAGAAATTTTTAACGTTAGTTTTATTTTTACTGAAAATTTTTATTTGGATGTAATGACGAAAACTATTGAGATAACAAACTACAACGGTCATGAGTTCAAGAACTTGTTCTTCGTTCCGCGTGAGAATACATTCTATCAGATACGAGGGAGAAAGGGTAAAGTTAGTTTAAGCATTTATGATAGCAAACATAATGGAAGATATATACAAGCAGTAGATACAAACGGTAAGCGTGTTTCATTACATTTGTCAAAACTTATAAACATTAATTATGACAGCGACTTTGACTCAGACGATTGGAGCGACAGTAGTGAGTCAGAAGATTATGAGCTGTTATGTGAAGCACAGCAATGGGAGGAGTTGCAATACTTTTGTAAGTGAGAACATTAGTGGGAACGTTAGTGTGTACGTTAGTGAGAACGTTAGTGAGAACGTTTATTTTTTCATGCACGTGCATTGTGTCGCGGGGAGTTGCCATGGGCAATGACCTGCGCACAATATATAACGTACAGAGAGGTGAGATGAGGTGGTTTATGTGATAAATACTTTACGTGGCAGAAATAGTTTAAGGTTATTAGAAATATTGCATCTGTGATGTAAAATATACGTTAGTGGTTTTGTAAAGTGCCAGATTGACATATCTTCGGTAAGATGGCGCGCAGTGCCACCGTACTGAAGATATGTATACTAACTTCCAACACCTCAACCGTATTAAAAAATTATATTTTTACCGTTCGATAGTAGTTGTATATGAAACTAAGTTCTAAGTAAAACGCATGGTATAATGGAATTATTCTTTTTCTTCCATCTGTAGTAAACCATACTTGAAAGTCTGAAATACTTCCACTTGGTGGTTCGTATAACTTTGTATGTTTTTCGTAAAAGTCATTTGCCAAGCATAAGAAAGAGTTTTGGGCGCCAGAAAATGAAGCATGAACAATAATAGCATCTGGGTCGAAAAATCTTTAAATAAATATGGTTCATCTCTTGCATATCGACTGTAGATATTTGCTAAAGGAGGTTCAACTTTCTGATTTAACATTCTTTGCAAATAATACCATGACATTGCAGTGAATTCTGTATATATTTGTTCGTCTTTCTTTGGGTTGTCTTCGTAGATTTGAAATGACACTTGTGAATTTTGTTTGTCATATACAATTCTCACATAAAGTGTGCTATCGGTATTCGCATATTCATCAGCATATTTTGCATAACATGAATTTATTTTATCTTCTATATTTTTTAATGCAGCCTGTAGAGAAGATGAGAGGTCAACTTGTATTAGCTCAATTTCTTCCCACATTTTTCGTTGCCCTTCAGATGTATAATCTATATGAAACCTTACAATAAATGGAAAACTTTTATCTTCTACAGACACAAACTTTATTCTTCGAAAGCCAATAGCCTTTGTGACAGATGGGTCTCTTAACCATCTTAATGGGTAGTCAAAACGATAGCCTTCATGCTTTACGGTATCTGTCTCAAACTTTTGACCGACATTAGTAAAAAGTTCATCTAATGGTTTAGTTGTAGCAACTCTAGAATTTTCTTTTTCTATTGGAAGCATATTTTATCTATAATAAAAATGTCAAATGAAACAGCGTCTATGAGAGAAATACAACACAACCGACAACTCATTATGCAAGCTCTAAATAAGAACACAACAAACTTTTCAAACTATTCTAAGATATCTGAGTCATTGAAAGGGGGTGACTTAAAACTGACAATAAACCCAATGACAGATGAGTTTCTGTTTCAAGACAATAAGAACAATACTGTCTGTATAAATCCAACAAAAGGAACTTTAAACGAGAAACCTATAAATGAACTTCTTTTGAAAGCAGATGTTGACAACAAAGCTGACAAAGAATATGTAGACGATGCAATAGCAAAAGAAGAAGAAAGAGCTAACAATGCTTATGCAACAAAAGAACATACTCATCCTGAACTAGCAGACAAAACATATGTTGACAATAAAATGTCAAGTGAAGTGACAAGAGCTGAAAACGAATATTCTAAAGAGACTCATATACATTATATTAACCAAATACCAAGTCTTAAGGAAACATTAGAGACAAAAGCAGATAAGACTCATACACATTCTATATCTGATATTACAAACTTACAAGAAACCTTAAACAGTAAAAGTGACGTTGGACATACACATACCATTGCAAATATTACAAACTTACAAGAAACCTTAAACAGGAAAAGTGACGTTGGACATACACATACCATTGCAAATATTACAAACTTACAAGAAACCTTAAACAGTAAAAGTGACGTTGGACATACACATTCTATATCTGAAATAACAGACTTAAACGTTAGCCTTGAAAAGAAAGCAGATAAAACATATGTCAATGAAATATACCAAAGTTTGATAGGAACAAAAAATATTGAAACTATTGTTGGTGACTTTTCTGTCAATGAAGAAAATAAATATTTTAGATGGCAGTTGGTACAGTCCTTAGAAAATGGTACACGGCATAAACTCATTCCGAAAAATAACAATGAAATGTATGTAAGCTATAAAAAGAATGATGGTACACAAGTTAAAGTTCCATTAGACAACAACTGCTACTTAAACTTATATGGAGACGAACAAAAGAAATATTTAAGAGTTTATGAAATGGCAGATATGACATTGCCTGACCCAGCTCCGGCACCACATTATTATGACTATGGAGATGACGACAGAACACCACATGTAGATGAACAAAAGCTAACATTATATTTAGATTATTATAGATATAAAAGATATAATGCAATAGAAAAAACGAGAATAGTATATTATTATACAGATGACAGAAATAAATATTATAGTCAAGATTTTATCTACCCTGAAAACATAAGATTATATTATAAAAAATATTCTGACACAAACCAGGAGAAACCTGAAATAGCTGCACTATATTTTAAGTTCAAAAAAGACAATCCTATAATATCTCATATGTTTGATTTAATGAACCCAGTAGGTTCTATTTATACATCTATGGATGCAAGAGGTCCTCAAGTAATGTTTGGTGTTGGTGCATGGGAACAAATAGTCGACAGGTTTTTGTATTGTGCAAACTCTTCAAAGGAAACAGGTGGAAGTAAAACGATTTCAGGTGAAAATTTACCTGCACACAGTCACTACATAGATTTAAGTACATCTCAAGCAGGTTGGCATAAGCATAGATATTGGGATTGGTCAGGAATGACAAAAGGTAAAGGATATGATGTTAAAGACGACGTTAAATTTGCTATAAATTGTTACTGGGATGACACACAGGGAGAAGGAAACCATACACATTTCGTTTCAGGATATACGCAAACAACGGGACAAAGTAAAGAATACATGCCACCTTACATGACAGTTTACGCATGGTATAGAATTGCTTAGTCGTCATTTTCAACTTCTTTAGCATATTCGTCAGGAGTTGTCTTATATTTGTTAGGAACTGTCTTTGAAAGTATACCACCTTGAACTTTGACAAGTTTGAAACGAGGTCTGACAATAGTAGTTTTATCTTCTGCTTGCAGTGTGTACATTTTGCCATGTTTGCCTAAAACTTCATAATATTCTCTTGTATACTTTCTTCTATTTTTACGAACACGAATGTGAGTACCTGTCGAGTTCCCATTGTTGTCATAGTCAATAGTATTTTCATATGGGTCGCGTTTAGGTATTTCTATTTTTACTTTGTCACCTTTCTGAAGTTTGAAGCCCGGCATTCTTTCTTGTTTGTCTCTTTTGACTAAATTATTAAATATATAGTCTTTCTCTAAGTCAGGGTTGTTTTTCATTTCTTCGGGGGAGTGGTTTCCCAAACCTTTTTGTTTACGGTTATTGTAAATATTTAAAACTTGTCTCATCTTTGCCATGGAGAAGTGTCTATACTTGTCGTCATATGACATTTCATTTGCTTCACCACCTTGTGGTTGGTTTAAGTCTCTTAACATTTTTATACAACCGTCAATGACACCAAGAGCAGAATGGTTTTGGTCGACAATGAAATATTGGTTTACATTTTTTGAACACAGATAGTTTTTTACATCATCTGATTTGAAAGAACTTTCACAGTCAGATGTCAGTTTTGTTGGATGGTATTTGTCAACGAATATTGTCAAAGCTGCTAAGATATCTAAAATAGCTTTGGACTGTAATGGTATGGCTTCACAGTATCTTGTGTTTTGACCAACAAATATTAACCAGTATGGTGGTCCATCTTCTCTATACCTCGGAATTTTTTCCAAGATATCCATAAACCAAGCATTTGGTGTTGAACTAAAGATTTTTATCATGAGTGCTTTCTTTGTCGCTTTAGAAACATAGGGGTCCTTGTTCGGATTCGTCATTTTTTACCCTATAAGAAATGGGTTTATTTGGCGCATTAGCAGGAGTTGCATCCAGATTTTTACCCGCAGTGGGAACAATAGCCAGAGGTGTATTTGGAGTTGGAAGGAAGATTTTGAGTACATTAGGTATACTTAAAGAGAAAGCACAACCTATTATACAAACTGTACAGAAAGGTTGGGATGTAGCACGAGATGCAACAAATCTTATTCCAAATCCTGAAACAAGAGGAAAAGTTCAAGGATGGATGGACAATGTAGGAAGACAAGCAGGAAACTATTATAACAAAGCAAATGACTACTATAACCAAGCAGGACACTATATGGACCAAGGTGAAAGATTCTTTAACAGAGGATATAACCATGCACAACAGTGGGTAAACAATAACCAACCTCAACCGCCTCAAACGTGGGGAATGTAAAGTTTTTTATTGAGATGAAATGAACAATGCAGCATTGAGACAAATGAGTTCAAGATGGATTTGTCGGCTTCCAGCATTTAAACCGATACCATATAGTCAGGCTCAGCATGTGAAACTGAATGATATTATTAAAGGAACCATCCCACCTCCACAACAACAACCAGTTGAAAACAAACCAAACTAAAATTTTTTACTGAGATGAAATGACCGAAGAAGTTGAAACGGTAGATTTGACACCACAAAAAAAAAGTTCAGAACCATTGTCAAAACCTGTCAAAGAACTTACAGATGAAGAGAAAAATTCAATAATAGAAAGTGCCAGGTCTGGAAATACAAACCCTAACTATAAAGTCACTTTTCATAGAAATGGAACGGCTAGTATCTCAAAAAAGAAACAGACTCTCACAAATAAAATATTGAAGTCTGAAGGAGCTTTCGGGACAACAGATGGAAAAGTTTACTTCACTGACCAACAGTTCATTATAGAACATCTCATTGACTTAGAGTCGAAATATTCTAAACTTTACAACAAACACAAAAAGTTGAAAGGAAAACAAAAACAAATGGCATATGATATTTATGAAGATGTTGACGACACAACTGTTCCTGCAAGTGAAGTAAAGTCAGAGGAACCGAAAAGTGACGAAAAACCGATAGAAGAAGAAAAACCAAAAACTGAAGATAAACCAAAACCAAAGTTTAGTTTCCAAACTAAACCAAGTCAACCTTCATTAGCTGGTATGGGTTGGCGTCAAAGACTTATGGCAGCAGGCGGTTATGTAAAGTAAAGAAAAAAAAATTTTTTATTTTTATAAAAATGCCCCCATATAGAATGGATAGAAAGTCTGCTAGAATAAAAGCAGAGTTACAAAGATATGGTTGGAGAGTTTCGAAGAATTTTAAATATAGGAAGGGAAGACCCATAAAAGTCTATGACAAATTGTCTGGTCTTCGCTACGAAATGGATTTGGAAACAGCACGTGCCAATTATCCAAACAGACTAGAGAGGTTAGAAGAAGAACGTCTTATGGACATGCCTTTCGATGTTAGTGAACCTCAAGTTGAAGGACACGACGGCTTTGCCAGATTCTACTGGAAACATGACGAACAATTGCATCCTTTGAGAAGGAAAAAAGGAAAAGGTGAAGACGCACATGCTCCCATGGAAAGAACAAGATATGCATATGAAAAGTATCGTGAAGTTAGAAGTCAAATTACATCTGGTCGAACCTTTACAGTAAACTTTGACGAAGGAAAGAACAAAGAAGGCTTCATGGGAGTACTTGCTGCAATTCAAGACGGAAATAAGAAAGGACACAATCTCAGATTGACCATAACAGATTTGGATGGTCACATTTACTATGCACATGGCAATGAACAAACAGCCGCAAAACTTCTTGACGCTTTCAAGACTACAAAGAGAGAACAAATGTTTGACTCCGACTCAGACATTTTGAATGCAATTGAAGGAATTGCAAGTGTCAAGTTCGAATGGTACCAACCTAACCCTCAAGCAGTCAGACAACATGCTGGATACTTCCCCTTCATAAATAAGTCTGACATTGACTTGACAAGGTATGGAATTTACAATTCAATTGAAACAATTGTCAATGAACCTTGTATTCTTACATGTCTCAGGAACTCTGGTCTTGTTACAGATGAGAAGATGAAGTATCTTGAGTCATGTGTGAAGACAAGGTACATTCTCAGAGGTCAATTGGCAAAAATTGCACCGTTGGCAAATGTCAATATCCGAGTCAACATACCTACAGCTAAAGGTTCTTCACATGACGACTATGTTGTTGACAAAGACTTACCATGGTTGAAGATTGTAATTGTCCACAACCACTTCATGTTGAACGAAAGTCTTACAAACCCATTCTTTGGTAAAAGTAAGTGCAACATTGTCAGAACTGTAAACATTCTTTTCGAGAAAGGTTTGTTGGAACCAATTCCAGATGACAAGCTGACAGAAACTTTTGTACCAAAAGACGAAACAAACTTTTCATTGTTAGCAAGACCAAAAGTTGTTCCAGACAAAGTTCTAGTACAAAAGAAGTACACAGTTCCACAAGGGGTTGGTATGTTCGGATACCAACCTGAACCAGAAGAACTTCCAATGAGGTTGCAAGAACTTCAAGATGCTATAAATAAACTTCCATTGAGACATCCAATTGACGTCAAATTGTATTGGAGAGCATCTGAGTTAGGTCAGAAGGTTTTATATGAAACAGGTTGCTTCGACGATGTTTATGAGATAACAGGAGAAGTTTCTCAGAAGATAAGAGACTCACTTGAATTTCCACAAACTGGACCAATTGGTTGCGACAAGTTCGACTCAGATGAAAAGATATACTATGTCGACCTTAACGCTGCATACATGAGGTTTGTCCAATATATTCCGACTGGAATTCCAAACGAAGATGGTGAGTTCCCGGGAAGGAACTATACAGTTGGAAAAGTCATACAACAACTGTATGATATTAGGAAAGCTTCAAACCCCAAACTTGCAATGACACTCAAATTGCTTATGAATTCGACATGGGGATATTCCATTAAGAAACCTCAAGAGATGAAAAGTAAACATTATGAGAAGGTCGACAACTTTGTTGAAAGGTTTTCTCCTTTTGTTTTGAAGTACGAATTCACTCAAGGTCAAAGTAGCTTAGTAACCACATTAAAACCTATTGTCGAACATTGGTCTTACCCTCAGTTCGCAAAAGCAGTCCTTGACGAGTACAACAAATTCTTCTCCGAAGTCAAATCGAAAGTCAAGGTTTACTATGAGAACATTGACGCACTCATGACGAACGAAGAAGGATACAACAAACTCATTGAAATGGAAATGGTCGGTGAAAAGATGGGTCAATTCAAATTGGACAAAATTTTCACCGAAGTTCATGCCCTCTCCAAGCGTAAGTACTGGGGTGTTAAAGAAGATGGTGAAATAGTTAAACATTGCATGAAATAAAAAATTTATTTTTTAAAAAGTGACATTTTTTTAATGGCGTACATCCCTGAGCGCTTCGTCCAGTTCAACCAAATGTTGGTCTCGGACCCAGGCAAGAGATATTCCAAGCCCGAACTCGACCGTCTCTTCAAAGAATGGATTGAAGACTACAGCGGAGACGAGTGGTTGACAATTGAATTTGCTCGGGCTTGGAATTGCTACAGAAGGGTCTTAGACGTGGACCCAAGACTCACGTACAGAGGTTGGGATGTGGTCTTCACATTCCAAGATTGGTACGAATACCAAAAATAAAAACTTAAATTTACTTGGGGTTTCCCCCTAAAATAATTTTTTTACTCTTAGAACCACTCGAGGTTCTCCTTACGGTTGTTGAGCTTGTCACCGTCAATGTGTCTGACCTTCGTCTTCTTGTCTGGATTTGGAACCCATTGAATTGCGACAAGCTTGCCCATGGAGATTGAACCGCGATTCCGAAGGTTAAGGTTCAAGTGTCCCAAGTTGTTGAGGACTGGGGTAAGAACCTTGCCTGTCTCCTTGTTGCGGATTTGGTATGGGTAGGGTTGGGAAATTTCGTAACCGTCATCGGCAACAAGGGTTGCCCATGTAGCGGCTTCAGGAACTGCTTCGTGTTTCTCTTCTTCCTCTTCTTCCTCTTCTTCCTCGACAATTCCTTCTTCAATTTGGTACTCACGAAGTACGGTGTTGCATGTTCTGTCCTTTCCGAGTACCTTCCAGATGGCGTCTATCTCTTCGAAGAAACGGTAGATGAGTCTGGCAAGGTCTCGGTTCTCTCTCTCGTAATTGCGCAAGGTTTCCGCGAAATCGTTCAGGCATTTCTCATTGGAAGCTTGGTTCATGAGGACATCGGCTTTGAGATTGGTCATCTCTGTCATAAGACTACTTTGGAGAGTCTTAATGGTGTTTGTCAGATGAGCTTTCAATTGGGCAATTTGAATTTGAATTGGGCGCTTGTCTGGCAACCTTGAAAGGACATCTGCCATTGTGTTCGGCTTCGGTGCTTGTTCGGACATCGAAAAAATGAAGTGGTTTGAGAATGACGGTTTTACTTCAAAAAGCTGGTTATGACAGTTAAGTCATACAACAAGTTTAAAATAATATCTTGGTCTTCTTCTGAACGTTTGTTGTCTCTTCCGATAAAAGTTTCGAACATGAGAACCAAAAAACGTTTTTTGAGGAACCGAAAGAGTTCAGGCAAATTTTCATATTCTGGATATGTTGGGAGCAGTTCAAAACATCTGAGCTGACTTTCTGACAAAATTGGGACAATGTCAGAAAATTCATCTTTGGTCGGACTGCTTGAAGGTAAGTCCCTTACATGTAAGTAGCTCTGGTAAAGTCTTCTCATTTCTGCTAACTTTTGGAGTATAGCTTTGTAGTTTAGAAGTTTCAATTTTAATTGTCTTATTCCACTCTTTACTTCTAAACGGTAAGTATCCATGAGGTCAAGAGTAGCTTTGGTAGCTTTAAGTGGAGCTATCTCTTCTTTGACTTGTGCAATTTTGGTTGCAATTGTGGTTTGAGCTCCTTCAAGTTCGCCATCTATGTCGTTCTCAACACCTTCAACCATAGCTTGAAACTCTTCATCGGTCCATTGAGTTTGGTGTGGGACGAATTTAACTTGCTTCATTCAAAAAATGAAAAAAATGTTTTTACTCTAAACGTGCCATGTATATGGCTATAAGAAACTTACCAGAAGGCTTCTTCTTCACATGAGTCTTTGGCAACTTGAGAGTTCTTGTTGGAGTTGGGTCTGGAATTTCAATTCTCTCTCGAGCGCAACAACAGATGTCAGAATAACATTCCCCACTGTCTTTCTTGCCACCATAAACTGTGTATTGACCGAACTTGCATTTGCAGGAAGACCGGTCAATACAAGGTTCACAGTTGAAATAGTTGTACTCATACCTGGTGAGTACGAGTGTGAGTAAAAACATAAAAAAAGTGAGTTAAAATGAGATGTTTACTGAACTGGCTGAATGTCGCCTTCACAGGTTATGTAGAACGGCTGACCAGAGAAGTGAAGGAGACCCTTGAGAATTTGGTTCATTCTTGGGAAAGGGTTCTCTCTGTTTGGAAGTAGTATCCAAGGACGCTTGGCAAAGAACTTTATAATGGCTTCCTTCTTTGCTTGCTTTATGTCGTCAAAGGCTGTCCCGTCTGGTATTTGAATTGGAATTCCAGTCGAAGTCTCGAGATTCAAGGCAGCCCTTCCCGTTATCCAACCGTTAACAAGCTTGCCTTTTACATTCTGCCTGAGGAAGTCTTTAACAAGCTCGTTAATTTCAATTAGGTAAATTGCCTCGTCGGTAGGTTCGACCTCGACCATTGCTACTGTCAGTAAAAGTACTGCTACTGTCAGAAAAAGTACTGCTACTGTCAGAAAAGTACTGCTACTGTCAGTAAAAGTACTGCTACTGTCAGTAAAAAGGAAAATTTGAGAGGGTTTTCGACGATAAAGTACTGCTACTGTCAGTAAAAGTACTGCTACTGTCAGAAAAAGTACTGCTACTGTCAGTAAAAGTACTGCTAGTAGCAGAGATTTTTATCGTTGTGGTCCGACAGGACACAAACGGATGACTGACGTTCCACCAACCGAGTCCATTCCCAAACCAGAGGAACCTAAAGAACCACAACAGTCTCCTCAGCAACCTCAGTTCCAGCAAGTACCTCCGAATTACTACCAATTTCCACCTCAAGGTTACTACCCACCACAAGGCTTCCCGAACTACCCTCCTCAACCTATGCCTTACTTCCCCAACCCATGGATGTTCCAGCAAGCTCCACCCCGGCAATTCCAATTCCAATCTCAATCGAAGAGAGACCAAGACTTCGAAGAAGGTCTGAACCGCTTACGCAAAGAGTATGCTACAGCTCCAATGGAAGACGACAGGCTTTCAGTCTCTTCCCTCAAATCGACCGATTCGACTCGTACCACAGATTCGGTTCGTGACCGTGAAGACTACCTCAAGCAGTCTGAGAGACTCTTCATCCTACAACCATTTACAGTTGGAGCTCTCAAGAACATGCGCAATTACGAAGGTCAGACACCAGCTGGAGACCGCAAAACAGACGTACTTGCAAGAGCCGTCCAGCTCGTCAAAACAAAGACGGAGATAGTCGACTTCATACTTGCAGCTTGCCCTTACAAGTAAAAAAATAAACAATTACGAATTAAACTTTTTACTCTTTCTTTTCTGAGTTGTTTAGAGCTGGTTTCTCTTGTAGAAATCTTTCATACTCTTCCATGGTCATGTAATTGCGAATTTGGTACGCAATTCCAGGTTCGTTGTTTTTGAACCTGATGTATGTAACGCTTCCATCCTCCTCAGGGAAGTAAGCTGCTAACATCTGACCAAGTTTTCTCGGTGACTCGGAGCTCATAAAAATGTCACTTTTTAAACGTTAAGTTTTTAGTCTTAATTTACCCTTTGTTTGTCAAGGTAGTATTGGAGTGCAATTTCTCCAAATTCTCTGTGTCGGAGTTCTTCAGCATTTTCCAAGGTGTACCTGGAGAACTCAAAGAAGTTGTCAAGAACATACTGCCATGCTGCTCTTCTGAGTTCGTCGGTATTTTGGAAGTGTTGCACCTTCGAGTCTTCGGACATGAAAAAAATACACTTTTTCTATTAAACCGTTTTGGCATTTCTCATGAGTGAGTATAGTTCTGCCGAACCATTGGAAGAGAAGAAGTACCCTTGCTGGCAAAAGACAAAAATAGTTGCCTTAGTTGTCATTGCAATTGTACTCGTAATTGAATTCATTGTACTTCTCTTCATACTAAAACTCAAGGACGGCATATGCTTTAAGAAGCTACCATCTTACTAAGACTAAACACTTACATTTTTCAAGCTTGACTTTTTACAATTTGAACTTTGTTTGCGTAGATATGAATTCTGAAAGAAGTATGAGGGTCTTGTATGACTTTGTACTTCTCCCATAGTTCATGTCTGTCAAACTTACCTGCCATGGACTCTTTCATAAGTTCCATGAAATCGTCTTCGGACAATCCGGGGAAAAGTATTATGTCAGTAAGTATTCTTTTAACATCCTTACTTAAACTCTTTGCTGTCTGTACACAAATGACAACTGAAATGTTAAAGTGTCTGAGCTTCTTAAGAATTCGACACATATCTTGTTCTCTGTTCTTTAACAAAGGATGAGAGGCGAAATCATCTAAGATAAGAAGACATCTATGAGGGTAAGTCTTCCAATCGTAAGATTGCAATTTCTTCGAAATGTATTCTATCTCTTTCTGTTTGTTTCTGAAGTGTGTTTCTAATATTCTCTGCATTTCCTCATTAGGTCTTTAAACTTAGAATTTATATACTCATTTATAGCATTATACTTCAAAACTCTTCTTTGGTACTTCTTTATCCAATCTAACAACTCAGTATCCTTTATACATACTAACTTAGACTTCTTTATAATATCTTTGAACGAATTGACGGTTTGGTCAAATTGACCAGAAGTCGAACAAATAACAACTAACTCATAGAATGGGTTCTTCTCATCTAGTTCTTGTTGTTGTGCAGCCATTTTAAGATAAGTGAAAGTCTTACCCGACCCAGGTGGTGCAATTAGACCTGTTATACCATTCTGAGCAAATAAGAACTTGCCATGTATAGGCTTTATCTGAGCATTTTCTAACTTCCTCTTGTTCTTGTTTAAAACATTCTCAAATTTTTGTCAATGTCAGCAAACTTTTTTTCTAACATATTTTTAGAAAAATTAAAATTTTTATCTTTTAGAAAATGTCTAGCGATTTCGCTATCTATATTCGAGACAAACTTTTTGACAGCAAAACATCTGTCGACCATAAAATCTTACATAGTGTAAACAAGAAAGGTGAATTTGTTCTAAAGTTCTGTTTCTGGGAATATGACAAGAACCATAAAACATTACAAAGAGCAGTCTTAAAATTTGTCAATGACAGACTTGTTGACAGAGATGACGCCGATTGGAAAGATGAAGTCCAACAAAAGTTCTTAGAATGCAAAGAAGACACATGCGCTGTTCTTGAAGATGAAATAGAAAACAGAATAGATGAGCTATTAAAGGACAAAGAACTTTTACAGATATATGGTTCTGAGAAATTTGACATATCTCCACCAGAAAAGAAGAAGAAAGAAAAGAAAGAGAAAAAAGTAGAAGAGAAGAAAGAACCTGAACCAGTTCCAGAGAAAAAGAAATTTGACATGTAAAAATAAAATTTTATTTTTAGAACATTTCTGGGTCAATGTCAATGTTCTCTTCCTCTTTAGGAGTAAACACTGGCTTAGACTCTAAAATCTTTTTACCCAATTTACCTTGAACTTCTACAACTTTAGACTCATAATATTCATAGTCGTCTGTCTTCTTTGGTTCATAAGGTATAACAAGTTTGTATGCTTTGCCTTCTTTAAGGTTTGAGAACCTTCTGTCAAAACTTTCTTTGACTGTTAACAAACCTTCTATGTCTAAGTCTTCAAATTTCGCACCATTTTTAGTCACAATAGCAAACTTAACTGGTTCGATGTTCCAAACTTTGCTGAATGAAGACTTTTCAAAATGGTAGAAGTAAACATTCAAATATGTGAATGGGCTACTTATCTTTAACTTCTGACATGTACTTATTTACTGAGATGAATTTTGCCATCTTTTTCTATCGGATCAAAAAATATTTTTTTTAAAATTTACTCAGAAAAATTTTTCTTTGTATATACACCATTCTGTACGTCTAAAAGACTTTTGACATTTGCCAAGAATGTACGTTTAGAAGCTGCCATATAACCATATTCTTGACAATATTGTTTATATTCATCATATAAAGACTTTTCATCTAAACACTCAAAGTCGCTTTCTTCTATGAACAGTTCATATACACTCTTGTTTGCTTCTAACAATGTTTGTCTCTCTTCGGTATGTGGAATTTGTCTTGGATTGAACTTAGAAATATCTAATGTCATGAAATATGAGAACAAGTGGTTGTAAAAGTCAGATGTCAAAGTTTCTGCTAAGTCGTCAAAATATTCTGTATCTTGCATATGAGAATCTGACGTTCTGACAACTACATATCTTCTGTCAGAACTTTCTAACTTCATCGGAACAGCATTGTTTGAAACCATAATGAAGTTTGCAACATTTTCACAAACTCTTTGGTCTTTATACTTTCTTTCAACAACTCCAACTTTGTCTGTTATAAGACTCTTCAAAGCATCTGAGTTCAAAACTTTTGTTGTATCTATACTTTGAAGTTCATTGCAAACTATAAGTTTCATATTCTCTATTGAGGAGTTAAACTTGCCACAGATGTTTTCTAAGTTTGTCATATTAGGGTTCGAATAACCTTCTAACAGTTTGCATAAGATATCTGTAAAGAATGTGTTCTTACCTGTTCCTTGTTTTCCAATTATAATGAGAGCAGTTTCATTTTTAGCACTTGGATGTTGTAAGATGTTTGCAAACCAACATAAGATATACTCATAGACTCTTTCGTTTCCATTGCATATAATTTCTTTGACATGGTCTAACCAAGCTTCTATAACATTTTCTTTCCATTCTACTTGTTCGTATTTATATCCAGTGAAGATAGAATAGAAGTTTGGAGAAGGTGTATAGAACTTTATACTTCGAACTGAAAAATCTTCTAACTTTGACAATAAGATATCCCAAGCATCTAACATCTTCATTCCAACTTGTACGACTTTTATTTTCTTAAGTTTCTGTCTACATTCTTGTTCAGACACTATTGTTGCTCTTGGTTTGTTAAAGACAACATCCCATTCTTTCATGACATAACATTCTGGGGCAGAGTCAACATAAATGACTAAACGTTTCAAATTCTCGACTGCTTTGTTATAGTCTCTAAATGGACACATATTTCTGAATGCTTGGAAGTCATAAAAATCTGAAACATCTATTCTGTACATTTTTATAAAAATAAAAAAATAATATTTTTTTATTCTTGACTTTGTTGTTCCATTTGTTGCATTTGTTGTTCTTGAGCTATTTGTTGTTGAAGTTGTTCTTGTAATACAATACTTTCACCAGTTGCATCTTCCAATTCGAAACTTTCTGCCGTCATTGACAAATACATAGGACATAAAAGTTTTACAGGAACAAAGTTTGCGTCAACTAATGTCAACGTTATACTTGCCAAAGTGTTTGAGTTCACTAAGGTTGAAAATTCTGCATTCGAATGAACAATAGGCAAACCAGCAGAGAAAGTATTGTTTATACGCATAAGTATCTTTTGGTCATAATAGTTTCTGTCGACATTCGAATAACACTTTGAACCTAAGTTTGAAACAATATATAAGATTGGTGTGCTTAATGTCAATGGAATAGACATTCCTTGTATGACACCTTTTCCTGTTATAGGAAACTGTTGGTAGTAAAAACCAGAAATAAGTTTTGTATTATAGCTCATATCGTTTATAGTAAACTCAGTCGGACATCCAAACATAATGAAACCTGCTCTAGTTGCAGCACATGTTACACCCGTACTTAAAGTATTAAATAAGTCAACAAAACCTGTTGGTGGTATATCTGAGTAAGTATCTTCAAAGGAGTATTTTTTACCATTCACAACAATAAAGTCTTCTGGTGTCAAAAGAGCAAAACAGGCTTTAGTCGTCATTGTGTTTAAGGTTAGTTTACAATATCGTCCTTGAGGACTTTGTAAGTTTGTTGTTATAGAATTATATGACTCAGGGTTTTTAGTCGTAATAGTATAAACCATTATGTCTTCTGCCATTTACTTAGCAAATAAATTTTAATGAAATGTTGTGGTCGTCAAATATTTTTATAACGTCTGGGAAACTATATTTTAAGTTCAACGTTTCACCTCCTTTCATAACGTATATCTTGTCAATGACATTATATGAAACACCACAGCAACCAATGTCGGGTTCTATTTCTTTGATGTTTATATCGTCTGCCTCTGTCAAAAGTTTCAATAGTTCTTTCAAAACTTCATGAGGTGCAATGACATATGAGTTCACTTTTACAGGGTTGTGTTCGACCAATTTAACATTATACTTAAAGCTTGACAAATCTTCTCCTGAGTTTGAAGTTTGTCTTTCAGTTGTTGGTAGTCGTTTCGAATATCTGCAACAGAACTTAAGTCTCTGTTAACTTCAGGATATGTTGGTTCTTTTACAGGAACAATTGTTATACCATCTTCGTCTTCGTATGGTTTCCCCACTTCAACATCTCTGTCTTTGACATTGACAACAACACTTTGACTGTTTGTTTGAGTTGGTGAATTTAACTTCACATCTGCCACCGCCATTAAACCTTTTGAAACACTTACGCTTCTATTTTTCGGAAATGACATTTTACTTAGAATAAAAAGATGGACGTATTCGGATATCTTATTGAATTGAAGCAGAACAAAGTTTATACTCACAAACAATACAAATACATTGACAGAATAGTTCTTTACACAAACAATGGAAAATGTTATAGAATAGCAGTCTTTGCTGAACCTAAATATTTTCATAAAGCAAAGAAAGTTGGTATAACTGAAATGGTGAAAGTTCTTGAAGCAGACAAAAATATAACTTCAAAACTTACAGATATTACTAAAGGAAAGTTTATAATACAATATTATGTCAAAACTGGCGTACTGTCAATATTTGACGGAGAGAAGTCAGTTCAAGAACAACTTACTGACCTGCTGCCAAAATCTGCTCGATGGAAGCTGTCGTTATGCCAATCTGAGGAGCCCCAGCAGGTTTCATCGAACGAATCTTCAAAAGAGCATCTTCCGTGAAAAGTGCTATTGGTTTTGTAAACTTCTTTGCTCTCAATTCATCTGGACCGTCTCTGTCACCAGTATATTGTATTTGAACTGTACCAACAGTTGAAATACCACCCATAAAGTCTTCTGAGTCAGCAAATGGAATGCCAAGCCAAAAGTTTGAACGGTCTCCATTTGTATATTGAGTTTTTTGACCTCCTGTATGAGTCCATACTTTCACATATGGCATAATAGAACTTTGCATTTCAGGGTTAATGGTTGTTGTGAAGTTGTTGTTAAAGTTCATAGCATCTAATGTCAAGTTGTATGACCTCATATCCTCAACTGTAGAATATTCTTCTCTTGGATAATATTTGCCATCTATGTTTATATGATATTTAATACCAGGGTTGTAGAAACAAGAATAGTCATTTATAGTTCGTCTGAACAGTACAAACATAGTATCTGCATGTTTCATTGCAGTTGTTAAAGCAATATCTGTTCTTGCACCTGCGGCTCCTGGATTTTGGTTTCCAACTTCACCTGCAAAGTCTTTGACAGATATTTGGTGTATAGGGAACATAAGTGGAACTGCAATATATTTGGCAGCTAAAGCATTTGAAATATCTGGGTCCAACATATAGACTGCAAGTCTGCTTTCTATTCTCTTGCATTCAAATTTTTCGCATGTGAACTTAACTGGGTCCCAAGCAGTTCCAGCAGCATTGAAATAATAGTTTACTTCATTGTTGAAGTTTGAGAAACCAAAGTCTAAGTCAACTTTGTCTTTGCAAAATTCGGCGAATGACGTTTGATTTGTTCCCTTTACGTCTGTAATAGTGAATGGGTCTTGTGTTGGTGCAATGACTAAGTTATTTTTGCTTGGAGTAAGTTCAATAGAAATTTTTCCTGCCCAGTTTGGCAAGTATCTTAAAAACCTGAAGATGAGGAAAGATGACAAAGGAACTCTAAGTTTCAGTTTTACTTTGGTTACTGCTGCTGCAGTTTGTCCAGAAAGGTTAACATAAACTCCTGGAACGTTAGGGTCAAGTCTTCTTATTTTCTCAATAGTTGCATACTGGTCTGTTTGTTCTCTAGCTTGTGGTTGTACTGAGTTTCTCAAAGCGAACCATTCATAGTTTGCCCATGTTACTGTTTGAACTAAGTAAGAGTTAGAATATATCTTATATCCCATGAAAACTTCTGGAGCATATTGGTATCCGACATAGAAAATTCCATTGCAACCTTTCTTGTAGGGTTGTTAAAAATATCAAAAATTAGCGTTTTGAAGACACCATGGTGTCTTATAATTTTCCCTTCCTTATTGGCGTGTAGAAATAAATGCGCCAATAGATTGAAGAAGAAGAATTGTTTTTCTCTTAATGAACTTTAATCCTTTTGATATAAGAATATTAAAAACATTAATATAATTTCGATTTCGGAAATTAAATTTCCAAATTTTTTGTCGATTTCGGAAATAACAGGATCCCGCATCCAACACGCAACAACAAAACACAAAACACACTTTTTGGTTCTTTCATCGTTTTAATCGTAATTTATGTAATACATGATTTGGATAAATTTTACAAAAATAGAACCTATATTATATTCTTTTCAAAGATTCTTGCAAATCATCAAAAATAATTGTATTTTAAAAAACGATCAAATTATCCTTTCATTATTTTAAACTTAAATTAGTTTTTATGATTGACTAAAGCAATCATATTTATTCATCATTAAATAAACAAAAAAATAATATTTGAGAGTTATTTCAAAAAAAAAACATTGAATTTATTAATTTGTC